TACACAGGTATTGTACACAGGTAAGTTGGGGAACTAGGGATCGAGCCCTGGGACCTACATCAGCTACTTCGAACTGGGGAATACCGTTTCACTCCCGCCGGCCTAAATTCGAGGTCCTCCGAGAAAATTTTAGTTCAAGACAGGATCTTTACCCTTCTGCTGTCTTTCGTAGGCCCGGACTATGTGGGGAGCTGTCTCTAGAAGTTCAGATCTAGTAAACCAGCGGTCGTCTTCTGGTTCCTGATAACTAAAGTGAACCTTATATTGTTTCTGTGGACGACCCCTACCTCCAGTCCTGAATACATCTTCAGCCACTATTCCATCAATGTCGTATCTTCCATCCATATCCGGTGGGATCATGGACCTACGAGATGGAAACTGATCACTTGTTTGACACGGTAACAACTTTGATGCGTGGAAAACTGGGTAAGTGTGGAGGTGTGCTGGTAACTCTATGGTATAGGACGGTCCATCTGCGCCGCCTTTGACTTCTAGGACTGGCCACGGTCCTCTATAGGTGGGTAGTAACTTCTGCGAAATGTTCTCCTCAGGTGTAAACTCTTTAGAACTGACCCAGACTAAGTCGCCTACTTGAAACTGTGAAGGGCGACGATGTTTGTTTGCTTGTTCTATCATCCTGTGCTGGGCCTTTCTGAGGTTTTCTACTACAGTAGCTAGTTCTTTCTCGTGTTGCACAGCAAACTCCCGGGTCCCGGGTGGCAATCTGTGAATTTGATCCCGGCTAAGTCCTTCAAATGGTCTACGGGGCCTAAAGGACTTGTGCAGTTCATTGGGAGTGCGGCAGGTGGACAGATGCACGCTATTATTATATGCACTAGCTACCTTAGGTAACATCTCATCCCAGTTAATCTGATCCGGCCTAATGTACATGCGCAGAACTTGCTGTAGGATCTTGTTCATTTGCTCTGTTTGACCGTTAGTCTCTGGATGGCGGYCGGACRACWTMAATAACTTAGATCCATACACTCCCATGAGTTCTTGCCAGTTCTGGCTGGTAAAGCGACTATCTCTATCGCTAACTATAGACAGTGGGATCCCATTTTCACTAACCCAACAGTCAAAGAACCTCTGTACGACTAAATCAGTACGCGCCTCAAAAGGCAAAGGAACAAAAACTGCGTACTTGCTAAAGCGGTCMACTATGACCATGACTTGGCTCTTGCCATGCCTGCTCTTGACTTGAGTGTCCATGAAATCTATTGACACTGAGTCTCCCGGCTGATCCGGAATGGGCAAGGGTCTGAGAAGACCTAACGGGGCACGCGTAGAAGACTTGTTACGCTGGCAGACCTTACAACTGCGAACATACTCTACGCAGTCATTCTTCATCCCTGGCCTAACGGGGCACGCGTAGAAGACTTGTTACGCTGGCAGACCTTACAACTGCGAACATACTCTACGCAGTCATTCTTCATCCCTGGCCAGGTATACGCGCGCAGCAGATTGGCTAAGGTCTTTTGCCAACCAAAATGACCTTMTGTGTSGTGGCATTCTCCCAAGATYAAACTACGGATCTTTTCGCTATTGGGGATGCACAACCGGTCAAAGACATTAGTCTTCTCGAATAGCAATCCTTCAGTAGTGCGATAATTCGGCTCAGTCTCTGGGGCTTCTTTGACTTTCTTAAGGAGGTCACTATAGATAGGGTCCTGTGCGTAGGCCTCTCTAACCTCTTGCTGCAGGTCTTTCCCTATATCGAGGTAATGCACTATTGCCCCAAAGTAATCTGCTCTCCTACTCAGAGCATCCGCAACTACGTTGTACTTCCCCTTGACAGGCTTGAGCTCAAAGTCGTACTGATCTATCTCGGCGGCCCACCTAGTAAGCTTAGGTGTCATCTTGGCCTGCGTCTTTAACCATCGTAACGTTTCATGGTCAGAGTAGACTTTAAAGTGCCTCCCAAGCAAGTAGTGCTTCCAGTGGTCTAACGCTTGCCTGAGAGCGTAGAGTTCCCCTCTCATAGGTAGATGTCGCCACCTTCTCTGAAGGCATTCTGGCGGACATGAACTCTACGGGTCTATACCCATTGCCATCGTCTTGCTGTAACACTGCGCCTATGCCGTACTGGCTAGCATCCGTAGTAACGACAAAAGGCAAGGACGGATCGGCGACCTTAAGGACCGGGTACTCTATCAATGCCTGCTTTAGCTTCTTCACGGCAGACGTGCAGTCCTTGTCCCATTTCCAGATTGTCTCTTTTCTTAGCAATCTGCGAAGGGGCGCAGCGATGGTGGAGAAGTTCCTCACGAACTTCCTGTAGTAATTAGCTAAGCCCAGGAACGAGCGCAACTCTGTCAGCGTACGTGGCGTGGGCCAATCTCTAATCGCTGCGATCTTGCTATCCTCTGGCTTAACGCCATCTCCGTCTAAGACGTGGCCTAGATACAAAACTTGGGTCTTTGCCCAATCACACTTCTTTGCATTGATCTTGAAATTAGCTTCCCTCAGCTTTTCCAAGACCTGCCTGAGATGACTCTGATGCTCGTCGAGGGTCTTACTAAACACTAGAATGTC